TGCACGATGCAGCAGGGCACAGCGAAAATCTCGCTTCCCACCTAACCTGCTACCACACGTGGGATGAGTTTGCCAGGCTCAGTGCGCTCCGGCAGCAGGGTTCATCTCGCCTATCATCAGGCACCTACAAATTAGGGCTCTCGAGAGGCTCACCCCAATGCAGGTTTTGGGGAATTGAAGCACGGCCAGGCTCACGGCAGCCCCTGGCATGGGGTGAGCGCAGGCAGGGCCAGGGCTCTCCTTCACCTTGGAGAAAACCCCTGCTCAAACAGCTCCAATAACTGCCTTTGGTTATCACGCGGGACAAATCTTCACTATCGCTCCAGAGCCAAGTGCGTGGTGGCCACTAGGAATTTTATGGAAATGCCTTTTTGTGGGAATTTATCCCTTGTTGTGCTGTGATCCAAGCAGGTGCAAAGAGGACCTTAATCAGCTTTATCCAGCTTAGCTGGCTGGCTATAAGGATTGCAAAGACCTCTCTGACAAGGCTCTGCTCCTGCGGCAGAGGAGCCTGTGGCTCGGCAGCACCTTTCTCTTACGGGACAACATGGAGAGGAGTTTTGTGGCATGAATCCTCATGGGGTGGTAGAGAAGGAGAAAGGATGTCAGCGGTTGGGTTTTTCTTGAGAAAAAGAAGGGAGAGGGCTTAGGCAAGCTCCTTCGCTCTTGGGGCAGGTTTCGAGAAAGAACAGCTTTCACCCCCAAATTGTGGAGAGTTTTCTCCCCCCCTCCCCAGGATTTCATTACAGTGAAAGCACAGCATATAATAAAACTGTATCCTTAAAAAAATCAGTCTCACAGACAGGCAGCCTTTGTCCGAAGGTGTAATTACAGGATAAATATGGGATGGAGACCAAGAAATGCGGTCTGGTCAGGCACGCAGTCTCTTAAAAAAACACAACAGAAAACAAGGCTGTCATTTAATGTTGAAATGTCCGTGTGTGCTGCAGCCCCCGGTCCCTCGCTGGCCCGCGGGTCCCCCCACCGACCCGGGGTTCAGGTGGCGAAGCCATAGCCATGCACCAGCTCCCTGCGGGAACCACACCGAGCTCCACAGTGGAGCGAAGAGCGAAGGTGGATCCGGCCTCCAGCAGAAGCCAGTGGGGCTGGGTGAGGGCATGCGATTGCTTGGACAATGGGTTTCCTTCCAGCCCCGGTGCAGAAATCCCATCCGATAGCACTGCAAGGGGACACGGGGGATTAGCTCAGCCGATCCCATTAAATGGAGCTAGAGCAAGCGAGGGGAAGGGGACGGGGTGTCAGGACAGCCAGCGGAGCAGCCATGACTTCTGAGATTTGGGACAAACCTCGTGCCAAGCTGGAAAAAGGCCTTTTTATGCATTTCTGTGGGCCAGCCAGGCAGCTCGGCTTCGTGGCCCGGCAGACATCCACCGTGCCAGCTGCTGGTAGCAGTTTGCCACCTTGGCCTTGCATTAAACAGCACAGTGTCTACGGTGGCATTTCAGAGACCTGCCTGCCTCGACCACTCTCTTACTTGGTGGGCACCGGCATCTTCTGACTCAAGCAAGAACTGCCTCTCTACAGCAAGGTCAGCCATGCCAGCATGGCCCCAGCGAGCCCCAAGTGTCTCCGAGAGGCAGGCAGAGAAACAGCAGGGTGTACCTGCTGTCCAAAGTCAAGTCTGGATTAGACTGGTGGAGGGAAGCATTAACTAGAAAGATCCCATTTAGAAGGGAACAGTGCATACATAATTTATTAAAGCTCTCACTGGTGCTATATCATCTCGTGTCACCTGCAATAACTCCGAGAAGCAGGCTTCGGCTGGTGGCCCTGTCCCATGGGACACGTGTCCCCTCGCTGCTCTGGGCTACTTGCAGAAAATGCCTCTCTGGTGACAATAAACATCACCACGATGGGCCTAAATTTCCTCTAAAATACAGCTGTGGCAGGCTGAGCAGGTGAGCCTGAGGGCAGCACAGCTGCAGGCACTGACCTGCACAGGGCAGGTTATAGAAGGGGTGGGAGCTGCCCTGGGATGGGGAAGTGAGGGGTTTTTTCTTTTGTTTGCTTGTTTTAAGGCAAGCCTGGTCCTTTCAGGAGCTGTTTTATTTCTGAAAGCTTGAATCCTTTGAGAAGAGGATGGGTTTTTTTTGGCATTGGTGTGGATGGAGGAAAGGTGAGGCTGCATCTCTTGTGGCCCCTGCTGTGGGCTTCCTGCGTGGCTCAGCTGAATGCAGGTACGTCCTCGCTCTAAGGCATTGCCTCTTGCTATGGCTTTCCCAATGTGTGCTTTTTCTCCCAAATCCATGCCTTTCCTCCTACAGGGAAGGACTGGGGCAAGGCCTGGCAGTGGCTGGAGCAGGGTAGGCAGGAGGTGCCTCTCTTGGGGGGACAAACCTCCCCCCAGTTGGCACAGGGTGAATTTGGCTGCTTTGGTCTCAAAAGGAGCCATGTGTCCCTCGTGGCTTCCCAATGCATCTGGCACCATGTTGGAGTCACGGCTGCGTGGGTTTAATGAGAGCAATTAGCCCCTACAGAAATCTGCACGGCTCCGGGGCGCGTTTTCTTTCTGTCCTATGACATTTTTGACGGGAAGCTGGAGGGTGTCCAGGAAGAAATGCTTGTGCTTAGCTAGAAATGACAGGCTGGAGCCAGCCAGGGCTGAGGCCGTGCAGGCAGTGCAGGTGAGAATGGGTGGTTGTCGTTATCCCCTCTGGCCTCACCTCAGCCCGGTTCCCCCTTCCCTCACCACTTGCTTTGTATTTTCCTTTATTTGTCTGTCCTTGCGCCCTAAACCTTGCTTTGGCCAAGCCCCAAGGCTCCTCCGTGCATGGTGGGATGGGAGGGGAATGCTGGGCCACCCTTCCGACGTCCCATTCCCAGCTCTGGCAGTTGACCAGCTATTTACCCCTCGTGCTGCTTTGCAAAGCAACGATTAATTTAAACTTTATTTGCTTTGCAAAAGCCAAACTAGTGGGTACTTTTGCAGAAGCACAGGAGAGGCGTTTGCCTGTAACTGTTGCCCTGGGTCCCGCCGTGTTCCCTCTCGTGCTGGCTGAGCTCCGTGGGCTTTTCCCAGCGCGCAGCCGCGGGGTATCCAGGCGACCTCGGCGACCCCGCCGCTTTCCCGGCGGGAAGCCTCTAAACAAAACCCAATTCACTCGGCAAATCCAGTGATGTCGAGAGCTGTGTGCAAGACAGGGAGGGGGTTGACGGCTCTCCATCGCCTGCAAGTGATGAGCGTATCACCCACACTGCTCAATGCAAAGAAAACCCCACTTTTGCACCCTCTTCCCAGCCAGCCGGCGTCGAGCACCCTGAATTCACACCTTGAGGCCAGATGCTCCCCAGCGAGCAAGGCGGCCACGCTCGGAAAACCTCCTTCACCGGCGGGAGCAGGCGGCCGCCCAGGGCTCCGGTGTGGCTGCTCCCCGCCGGCCGGCCCCGTGCTCCTCAATGCCGCCTCTGTTCTCCCTCTTGGGTCAAAAACACGGCTTTTGTGAGCTCGCCCCAGCCGCGGCTCGTCGCCGGGGCCCAGGCGCGTTCCTCCCAGCTGCCCTCCGCCGGCAGAAAGGGAGCCCAGCTGCGGCCAGCCGCCGCCTGATTTTACTTATTTATTTTTGCTTTTGGCTGACAGCTCTAGCTGGGGAGAGGTGACGTGGGGCTGCTGGCCGCACCTGGGGGGTAGCGGGGACCCCTCGGGGCTCCCTCAGCTCCCCAGCAAGTCTTAGGCAGAGACAACCCCTACCCTCCACCGAAAAGCCTGGCTTCTCCCTTGGGTGGCTGCCGTAACTCAAAATACACAGGGAGTAAAAGGATGTGCTGCAAAGCGGGCTAAAAATAGGTGTCTTAATTCATTAAATGTGAATTGGAGGGGGCAGCTCGGCACCAGGCTATTGCTGGGTGAACGTCTGCATGTGGCAAACACCCCAAAACTCCCCGTGCCTCTACCAGGTATCGGTCACCCACTGGTGACCAGCACCTTGCTGCTGGCAAGTATTTCTGGGGTTCCCCCCCGGGTGTGGGGTGCACACCAATACCAAGGAGACAGGAGATGCTTTGGACTCCGTGCTGTTGCATTTTTGTTTTTAATTAAATAAGTCCGACCGTCTTCCAGCAGGTGCCGCGTTTCGCAGTCGCTCCCGCCTGAGGTGGGTGCAGTCCCGGTACCGGCCGCACTCTGCTGGGGGTCTGGGGGGAGGTTATAGCCTGTCGGTCCCCGGGGGCTCTCCCAGGATCTTGTGGTAGGGCACATGGTGGTCTCTGGCCAAAATCTGACCTCCGCCACCTCGGCTCTGGGTGTCTCTGTGTTTCTTTGCGGTACGTTGTGTTGCTCTGATTTTTGGGCTTAGCCCCTTGACCTGCCTCCCCCTCTTTTTCATGTAATAAATAAATAAATTTGCCTGGTGACCCTGGTATGCAAATACCCAGGAAAAAAGGAAAAAAAACCAAACCCCAAACCAACTTTGAAGAGGACCAAACTACAAAGTCATCTCATTTCATTGCAGCCCAAGTGCTCCAAGGGCTCCGCGGGTGACTCCTGCCCCAGCATGCCTCTGGGGCAGTTCCCAGTCTGTGCTGGTGTATGAAGGCACTAAACCAGTAAGGCCACTGGGGTCTGGGTCCTTGTTGGCACCACGGAGGTCTTGTCCTTGCCTCATCCTAGCTGGGGGGGGGGGGGGCAATGCAGAGGTGCTCGGTCCTGTCGCCCTCTGCTTGCCCTCACCCTCCTCTTCCTCGGCACAGCCCCCAAGCTGGGGAGGTGGCCCCAGTGCCGAACCCCCCCACACTTTTCCCCACTGCCCCTCAACCTTGCGATTTCCCCATTCCCGGAGGAAATTGTGTAATTCAGGCTCTGCGGGACCCCGGGGTCAGCTCTGGCAGGATGCTCCGGCTCCCAAGGCTGCCGATTTCCACCCGGCAGCGGCGAGGAGTATCTCCGGGAGCAGGGACCCTCGGGTCTCCTCCGGACCGGCCGGGAGCACGGCCGCAGCCCCTCATTCCCCCCCGCCGCCGTCCGTTCCCCCCTCCCTCTGCCGTTACGTGACCCAGGAGGGCTGTGCCTCCTCCAGCAGGCTGAAGGAGCGGTTAGCCAGCGCGGCGGGACTGCTGGCCAGCTTGTAGCCGAAAAGGCGCATGGCCGGGGCGCAGGCATCCTGCACCACCTGCGCCAGCTTGAAGGGGATGCTGAACCGCCACTTCTCAAACTGCTCAGAGGAGTTTTTGCGGGTGGAGTAGACGCCGCTGCCGTCGCGGGGCGCCTGCGTGTTTTTGCCGATCCACTCCTTCACCTGGGGGGTGAGGGGGAGCCCGGCGAAGCTGTACATCTCCTCTGCCTTCTGTAAGGGCGCCTGCGCCACGTCCTCGTAGCGGACCAGCATGTAACGACCCCGCAGCCAGCCTGGCCGCCGCAGCCCCAGCTCGGCTGACAGACGGATGCTCTCGCAGTTGCCCCGTAGCCGCTGCACCTCCTCCTCGCGGAGGGGAGCCTCCCCTTCGGATGCCCACTTCTTCCAGGTCTCGTACTTGCCGGAGAAGGCCACCATGCGGGAGGCCAGGACGGCCCGGGGATCCCGCACCAGCTGGATGATGCGCACGTCCAGGCGAGGGTCCTCCACCAGCGGCTGCAGGAACTCCAGCTGCCGGATGCGCACCGTCTTCAGGGCCACGTGCTGCTTGCGCTGGCACGCCTCAGCGGCCAGGGTGATGTTGAGGGGGCCGCAGCGGCGGTTCTTGCAGTGGTACTTCTCGAAGACCTTCTTGGCGCTGGGTGTGCAGACAGGCTCCTCGCAGAGCGAGCGGCTCGAGCCCCGCCGAAACATGAAGGGCGTCAGGTGGTCCTCAGGCGCCGGTAAGATGAAGCTCTCCAAGATGTAGAGGTCGCAGAGGAGGAGCTGCTTGAGGACGTCCCGGTAGACCAGGGCCGAGCCCACCGCGTTAGCTCCCCCTGGCTCGAAGGTCACCGTCCTCTCGATGTGCCAGAGGGGCTCGAAGAGGTAGAAGATGCTGCCTTGCTGGTTGAAGAACTCTCCCACGAAGGAGGAGCCGGTGCGGGTGGTGGCCATCAGCAAGACGTGCCGCCGCGGTCTGGGCTCCCCGTCGCCCACCAGCTGCAGGGTGACGTTGCGCAGGTGGGACCTCAGCTGGGAGAAGGCGGCGTCCAGCTCTTGCAGCGAGGCCAGCGAGCCGTTCTCGGCCAGCGCCGGGCTGGCTTCCGTGCCGTTGGCCTCCGCCAGCGCCTGCGGGGACTGCTTCAGTTTGTCCGACACCCTGTGGGGAGACCCGGTCCAGCCTGGAGGGGAGCGGGACCACCCCCGCGTCCTAGCGGGGTGTGTTTGGGGGGGGGGGGTCCCGCTGCACAGGAGCTGGGGGTGTCGGGGACAGAAAGGATTAAAAGCATGAGGTGACTTGGGCACCCACTCCCTACCTGGAGATGAAGTTGTTCTCCTTCTCGATGATGACGAGGCCGACGACGAAGACCAGCAGGACGGCATACTTGCTCCTCATCTTCAGGCAGTGCAGCAGCTCCCGGGAATCCTGGGGCAAAGCGCGTCGGATCTCCATGGGGGGGACACACACGTGTCCCTCCCGCCCGCTGGGGAGGTGTCCTGGGCTAGCCGCCTGGCATCGTCTGCTCTGCTGGCCCTGGCCCGGGTGGCCCTGCCTGCGGGGAGAAGGAGGGTCAGCGCGGTGGTGGCTCTCTGCGGGCAGGGGGGAGCGGGCAGAGGTCAGAGGCTGAGCCTTCCTGCAAAGGATGACCAACGAGGTCTCGACAAAAGCAGTAAAAAGGGGGGGAGCTCCTTCCTACCGCTCCCATCCCGCCCGTGAGGAGCAGCTGCCCAAAGCCCCCATCGGCTGCGCCTCCTCCTTCCCGAAATACATCTCCCCGACAGGACCCCTTCCCGCGCCTCTGCTGGCTGCCCCTGCCAGCCCTGAAACCCAATCCCCGCCGCCCCAACAGCTGCTTGCTCCCTGCTGGCCAAAAACCTGCTGCAGGCAGCGAGGCCCCCCCGCCCCGGGTGCGAGAGCAGCTCCTCATCCCGATCCGCTGGGCATCGTGGCTCCCAGCCTCTGGAAAGAGCTACTTCTGGGGAGGGTCGCAGGCTCTGCCGTAGGGCCCCAGCGTGGGGCCGCGTGGCTTCCGCCTTCCTGTGGCACAGCGTCGGCGGCTGCTCAGCCACGAAAATGAAAGCCAGAGGTTTTCCAGGAACCATGGCGGGCCAGAAAATGTTGCTGCTGCCGCCAGTCCCACCCGCTCAGGGTGTAAAATGCTCCTGGGGGTTTTTTCCGAAAAGGAAAAAAAACCCCAAATGTCGGTGCAGCTGCTCAGTGCAGGATGCAAAACCCACTGGGAGACTCGGCATCCCCCCCGCCGCAGCCCTCCTCCTCCTCCCGGGGTCGACGAAATGGGGGTGATGATAGGAGCTGCTCCGAGTTGCACAAAACCCACATCCCAGCTGGGAGGTGGTGGAGATTTTGGGGGTCAAAGCTGCGGTTTGGGACCCCAGGGCAGGTCCCGAGCATGTGTTGTGTGTGCAAATTTACACGCGTAGGGCTTGCTGGTGCCTGCTACCTGGCCGCTGGTTCGCACGCCCGGCATCCAGCTGGCCACGTGGGTGATGCTGTTTGCTTGTCCTGCTTTCTTGGCCAGACTTTCGGTGACTCAGGGAAAGTCTATTTAGCTTTGGTTTGGCTCCTGCCAGCATGACCCCTGCAGCCTGTCGCACCTCTGCTTTCAGGGCTGAAGGTGAGGGAGCCCGGCAGAGCCCTGTCCTTTGGGGGGGTCCCTGAGGTTTGCTGGAGGGGAGATGCCTTGGTTGAGCCGCGGTACCCACGGCATTCGGCAGGGTGTGGAGCAGGAAAGCCCTGCCAGGCATTGCGTCACGCCCAAACCTCCTCAACGCCGTCCACGGCCAAAATGTGCGTTTTTTTGGTGTCGCTCACTGTATGCCCCTCCCGCTGGGAAGGAGGGAGCGTGGGCAGGAGGAGAGGGATGTGCCCCACGGCCAGGGCAGCATCCCAGCCCTCTCTGCGGAAGGGCCAGGAGTTTCCCAGCTTGAGCAAACCACTCGGTTCTCGGGGCTTGGCTTTGAGCCATCTCCTTCCCAGCAAAAGCTGCTAAAAAGAGACACCAACACTTACGCACCCAGGAAACCGGGAGCTTTGGTGGGACGCAGGGATCCTGGAGATCCCCGGCGGCTCCCAAGCTCTTCTGCAGCGGCTCCCCGGCTCCCCCCTTCCCCCTGCTGCCAGTGGCACCAATATCCCCCTGCACATGTATGTGTGTGTGTTTAACAGCCCTGTTAGTTTAGTTTGTCAGCACGCCGCTCCTTGGGGACAGGCCAGCAGCCGGGGCCGGTGCCCTTTGCCGTGCCGTCCCCAGAGTCCCCCCTTGTCGGTCCCGCTCGGTGCCCCTGTGACGACAGAACTTGTCGGAGTATTTGAGCAACCGAGAGAAGAAATAAAATATACAAAGCCCTCGGCGTGTGGCCACATCTCTCGGCGCCCCGCAGAGCTGCTGGCTTTGCCGCTGCAAAGGACTTTTGGGTTTGCGGCATCTCGGGGAGCAGCAGTGGTGGTCTGCATCCCTGCCCTCGCCTCCCCGGTGCAGGGGACCGTTGCCTTGCTGCCCAGAGCACGCACGCAGCGGGAGGATGGCATCAACCACTTGCTCAGACAAAATCCCTGGGGAAAGCCAGCCTGGGGTTTTCCCCCCTCTAATGCCCCCAGCCAACCGACCACAAATGAGCCACAGACCAGGAATTACTTGCGGGGATGACACAGAGAGCCATTTCCAGCAGTGCTGGCAAAACCCCCCGATTCACAGGCCCCGGGGCAGACATAATTCCTTAAATAAACAGCCGGCTGCAAATCTCCTGCCTGGGACCCGCAGGGCAGTGGCGACAGGCGTGGGGTTCCTTGCAGAGCTGAGCCACGGGGCTGGGGGACACGCGGGGTGACCCGGCGAGGCTGGCTGGGGCCTGCTTGGCATGCTAAAGCTCTTCCTCGCTGGGGCCCACGAGGCGCAGCCCGGCCGGGGCAGCGAGCAAGCCACAAGCGTCCCTTTGTGAGTGGGAACAGAGGGGCTCTGTGCGCCCCGCACGTTCCCCTCCGGCCGCCCGCCGGGGCTCCGCCGGGTCGGAGGTGCGAGGAGAGCCGCTGGGATGCTGCTACCGCCCTAGGGACGCACCAGCAGCATCCGCTCCCAGGGGATGCGTGCCCGGCAGTGGGAGCAGACGGACGGACATCATCTCTGGCGCTGGCAGGCAGCGGCCAGCCAATGGTCTCCTCTTACGCTGCACATCTCAAAGCAAGATGGAATAATTTCCACGAGCGCTAAACTGAGACGCCCCAGAAGGCGGCACACGTGGCTCGGGGGAACTCCCCCGGCACTGCTCCCTGCTTTTTCCTATCCCTCAGGCTGGAAATGCTTTTCATTTCAGCAGGGATGGCTACAATTCCCACTGGCAAGATGGTAAAAGGCTTTGCAGGTTTCCCAGCTAAGTCAAAGCCAGCAAAGGGGCTTTTTCTTTTGGGTGGTGGTGGGGGTTTTGTTCCCATACAAAACTGCTCGGGTGGATATCCGCCACTGCTGGCAAGTTAACTCAACCCTGCCACAGCAAGAAGGAAGGACTCGGACAATTACAGAGATGCCAAACCATTCAAGTCTGCCGCAGCAAGTCAATTCATCGGATGGATGCTCCCACCGGTGTTGGAGGTGGGGTGAGAAAAGCAGCATAGCCCCAGAGCAAGGATGGCAAGGCTCCGTGGTGAGAGGGAGGAGGGAAGGGATGCTCTTGTTATACTTCCACAGGGCGTTTCACGGCGCTGCCTGCCTGGGAGAGTGGAACTGGTTTTTTTGGCTCAGTTTTGGGAAAGGGAGGGTCTTTCACAAAGCCTTAGGGCTCTCATCCCCCTCCTCCGGCTGCCCTGAACACCTACTGGGTGGGATCCAGGAAAGAAAAGATGCCTGCGGGCTGGTGGGGGAAGCTAGCTGGAGGTGTGACTGGATGAAGTCACATTTTCCTCCGGTGACTCAACAGGCAACAAATGAGCTCTGGACAAGGAACGGAGGCAAAGCACCTACTTGCAAGCTCCCTCCCTGCCTGGACTCTCTGGGCCCCTCCGCCCCCCCCCCCCCGCCCCCATGCATCCCTGCCTGGCTCCTGGGAGGAAGGAGCCTGTGGGGACCTGCGGCTGAGCTTGCTGCCCCCGGAGTAATTCCCTCTGCGATGCTTTGCTTCATCAGATTAACAGCGGCAACGCGAGCCAGCAAAACACAGGAGAAGAACAACAAAGAGATAAGGCACAGGGGCGCTTATCTGCTCTCCCCGCTGCTCTTTGTCTGCAACCTGGGGAAAAAAAAAAAAACAAACCCAACAAAAAACCACCCTGAGCTCTCTCTGTATTTACTCTATCAACTATTTCCGCTCCCCACTTCCTCCTGAGGCTGGCCTTGGGAAATGTGCCACTGACGCTTCCCACTTTGCTTTCATCTCCCAGCAATTTTGATCCTGCCCCTGGCTTTTCTCCAAGGCATGGCACAAGCGCAGCACCACTTCGGTTTGCCCCCAGGCGCAGCTAAGGAGGTTGCCTGGGCAGGTATTTTTTGCTTAAAACCATGTGTATTCAAGCTAAAAAAGGGAAAAGGAAAAAAAAAAAGTCACCTCCTACTATGTTTATAAAGTTGCCTAGAATAGCCCCGAGACTCGTTAAATTGAAGCCTGAAAACTGCCCTTCGGAGGAGAAAGTCGGGAATGCAAAGTTCTTCTGGCTCGGGCAGGGACAGGGCGTCGGTGCCTGCGGCAGCCCCAACCCATCCCACTGCAGCACAGAAACCTGGGCATGAGCAGGGACTGTGTCCCCCAGGGAGGACGGGAAGGGCAGAAGAACTGTCCCCCTGGCTTGGGCAGCTATCCGGGTACACGGCCAGGGGTTTGCTCCTCCACATGTTCGGTCCCTCAAGTTAACGCAGGGGCCACGCTTGTTTCTCATCCTGATTCCCTTCCTGGCTCTGCCCCTCAGTCCTTCAACCTGCCTTGGCTTGGTCCTCTGCTCTCCTCTTAACTGGGCACCCAGGGCAAAGCCAACCCAGGAGCTGAGGCATGCAGGTGAGGGCAGAGACCGGAGATTATGCTCAGGAGCAGCAGCAGTGGGCGTTGGTACAAACAAGCACCACTTAAACAATTTGTTTTTCATTGCATGTGCTCTCAAACTCCAGGTGTGCGAGGTTATCTTCTGTCCGCTGTTTATTATCCCCCTCGAGGAGGCACACAGAGCTCTGGGATGACTTACATGAGCTGTCTTTGCTCCTTGTGTCCTAAAAAGCACTGCCCAGAAGGGATTTAGAGGCTGGTGTCAGGCACAGTAATGCTAGTGATAGGACCAGCCCAGGCTTCGTGGCCAGGACGGAGCAGTCTTTGCTCTCCCTCACCTTGGGTGGTGTCCAAAGAAAGGTGTTTTCTCCTGACCCAACAGAGAGAGCTGCTGCTACCGCCTGAGCCCCTGGTGAATGTGATGGGATTTCAGAGACATCAGTGCCGAGCACGGGGGTAAAATTGCACATCTGCAGGCGTGCTGGGCTGCGTTGCCCT